GATGTGATTAAGGTTTGGATGGGTTGACGGTGTTTGCATTTGGCGGGGGGTGTTGAGGTGGGAGGTTTGGGTGAAGGTGGCGGGGAGCGTAGCTTTGGCGATGGTGAGCTCGAAGATGATGACGAGAGAGATTTGGAAACGCGTCGGTATGGCGAGCTGGTTTTTTTCTGTCGTTCCGATCTGCGAGAAGGTGATCTTGTTGGTCTTGAGTTGAGCTTGGATTGGGCGTTGGTGACTGCTTCAGGTTTTGTTGGCTTGTCGGGTTCGACAGAAAGAATATTGATCAAGGCTTCCAAATCTTGGTCTCCATTTTCGAAAATGGACGCCGGTTGAGGTTGCATGAAATTAAAGAACTCAAGCTGGTCTTTCGCATCCTGCAGTTGAGGGACAAAGATGCCCGGGAGGAGATCATTACCGAGCTCCAAGACCACGGGGTCATCAGGATGCATGAAGCCCGTCATGACAGAGCTTGCCGGCGGTCCGGTCGTTGGCGTTAATGCGCTGAAAGGCAATGAGTGCAAGCTTGAGTCAGAAGGATGCGGCCACGCAATGGGAGTCACATCGAGCTCAGTGAAAGGAGAGCACGTTGAAGTGTATTTCGCGGTAGGAAATGGCAACTCCAGTTGGTCTGCCACGTCGAGGTTCGGACAGTCGAGATTGCTTCCTCCAAAGTTTAAATTTGTGATGAAGGGACTTGCAATGGAGAGAGAGTTGTCGCCATGGCTGACAACATCGCCAGCACTTTTTTGGCATTGGTGTAGCTGTTGGAGCCGATGAAGCTGTCGCGTTTGAATCTGAAGCATCATTTCCTCGTTTTCGATAAAATCTTGAAGTATTCGGTTGTAATCTTGAGATGGTGTATGTATAGGCGGCCGCGGCTTTTGATTGGCAATTGGAACCGTGGTTAGAGTATTGGTATCAATGTCCATCAGAGCACAGAAGGATTCCGATGATGTTGAAAGAGGACAGTTAAAGAACATGATGATAATGTGATCTTATAAATGAATTGAGAGCGTAAGGAATGGGAGTGAAGGCTCAATGACACCAACCTTTATACCCTCTCACCCGTTTTGTGTCACCTGAAGCCTGTGAATTTCCACAGCAAATGAACACAGAGAGCGGAGCCAGGAATCAGTTTCGCTCACTGAAATTGGGGCTGTGGCTGTTAGGCACAGAGCGCTGATCCATGGGTAGAGATTGTACGCGGATTGCCCTTTTTCTGCAACAACCTAACGATTTCCGTCTTCGAATCACTTCATCATCTCCTTTTCTTGCATTCACAAAGAGTTTTCAGGGTCATCTATTCTAAAATGCTTTAAACAAGCTGGAACGTTACTTGTAGCATATTTTCTTAAGTCGAAAAACGCGCGAACAAGGACAGTGGAAATGGTAGATATTGTGAAGAAGAACGGCATATGCATGGCACTGGCAGTTTGTGCCCCATTAAAGGTGTTCCCGACTCGTTGGTGATTCTGTCTGTAAGTATGTCGGGAGGTTGGCAGAAATGAAAAAGAGCATGCAATTTGAGAGGAAGCTAAAGAGCGTCTCCTGCTCCAGCGCCATCGAGAATACTGGGGCATACCATTTTTCTTGATTCCATTCGTCTTCCCCTTCGATCTGCAATTTGAGTTCACACGGAAATCTCTGATCAGTCGTGATCGCATAATGCCGTTTTGAAAGTTGTCAAAGTTGAAATACTAAGGGTTGTCGCTGTGACTGTAGAAATGTTTATTCAATAAAAATGTTGAAAAAGGGAATTGCTCTTTGTCCTAATCTGCCAGTGTCCTTTTATACATGGCGCAGATTAGTAGCACAGGAGCCACGGACTCCACCTTGTGTGTGCACCGTCGTTTCGGTTCTTTCCGTCAAGGCTGCCTATACCCGCCATTCATGCCATTCTCAACTGTCACAGCTCCAGGCTTAAGCTTCCTAAAACACACTGGAGACTGGACGGGACAAACGTTTTACGACAAAGACGTCGCTGCTGGATCGGCTTTGCCTGATCATTTCAAAAATGCTGGCAATTAACGAAATTATTTTCAGTCAACGTCAATGGTGATGTTCAAGAGAGCTGTTTATATTTTTTTTTTGAAGTTTCTCTGCAACAAGAGACAGCTTGTAATATTACAGCTGCATTCTTCAAATATCAAAAGCCGCTGATAGCTCAGTTGGAAGAGCATCTGACTGTAACGGGAAACCAAAAGATATCAGGAGGTCCCCGGTTCGAACCCGGGTCAGCGGATGATCTATGATTTTTAAATTTTTTTTTTGTTGTTGTTGCTGTTGTTGTTAATCTTGTTTGATAGTTTTTTATCTTCTCCAGGATGTACTTTTTAGGTCGTTAGGATGAGCGAAAAAAAGCCTTGAATACGTCCGTCGTTTTTTTGCTGTAATGATTGATGCAAAAAATTTAAAAATTTAAAGTCTCTCAATAAAAAAAATTTACCCTGCCAAAGGAAAAGAGGAAAATGAGGACTTTCCTTCTTTCTTTGTTGATCTGTATTAGCATCTCTCTGCTCCATGCTGACCGTTAAAAATTGTAAAAACTTGATGTTGTTTCTTGTTTAGATTCGTTAGACTTTCGTTTTGGAAGGAGGATTAACTCACTTCAGGCCTATACTTATGGTTGGAGCCCAGCCTATCGTTCTGCATTACTTTGTATTTTTTGTTTTGCCTATGCTTGACTACTTCTTACCTTTCATTTGGGCATGGACTAGCACTCATCTCAACACTCGCCTCCCCCTTTTGAAACCGTTGCAAGACCGCCTGGACCGCGCAATGAAATGGGTGTGTCTCGCAACTCCATCCCAGGCTCGCGAACCACCGATTTTGAGAGGCTTAATAGGCCTACCAACCATCGAAGAGAGGGGCAAAGACCTTATCCTCCGATTTCGGTTTGCCCTTGAGCTTCAGTGTGCCGAGCCATTGGATTAATATTGCCCGACAAGAACCATTCTACATCGAGGTGGGATGACATTGAGAATTGGGATTAGTGCAACAGGGAGGTCGAATTATCTAACGCGTGAGCGAACTCAAACTTTGCATTCTGTCGTTCTGTATTCTAATTATTCATATCAGCTCTTCCATCTTTTCTTAATTTCCTCAACCTCCCTCACTGCATCCAACATGGTTTTCGCGGGATCCTCAATCCCGTAATGCTTTTCCTGTATGAACGTCACGATCGTCAGGACAAACCTGACACCGAGCTCCTCGTCTTCCCTCCAATCCCTCTCGGGATCTCCCAAAAACGCTCTCTGAAGCTCCCTCATGACCTCTCGAACGGCCTTCACATTGAAATCTCTCGGGTTTTGGGTCATAACCCAGAGATTTGAGAGAAGCTGTGCGAGATCTCTGGTTGCATCACCCATTCTTGCTGTCTCGAAATCGAGCAACCACATTTGAGATGTTTCCGTATTGATCACGATGGAATTTGGCCAGAGGTCGCCTTGGATGGGATGGCCTTGCCCTGGTTCAGGTGGAGTAAAGGGTTTTGCTTGGGAGAGGTAAGGTTCGAGATTGGATTCAATGTTGAGCTGCTTGGCTCTTCTTCTGTATGATCCTGCGACGTGATTGTTGAGAATGGACCAGACGGATGGGTTTGAGAAGGCTGCAGTGGGTGGTGTTGACTTCATGGTTTGGTAGAATGCGTGCAGGGATTGAGCCAGCGATGGAAAGAGGGATTCGGAGACGTTGGATGTTCGGAGATGGTCCAAGAGGGTTGAGAGATCCTTCCCGGCGTCTTCCATGATGATGGTGTAGGCTGCGTCGTTGGAATGGATGATTCGGGGAATGCAGAGGAGACCGTGGGTGCCGCCAAAGAGCTTTAGGCATTCTTTTTCGGCAAAGTAGCGCTCCTGGGAGAATGCGACGGAGGGGTTGATGGCGAGGTAGGGAGGAAAGTATTTGAGGACAGCGGTTGTTGAGTCTGCAAAGGTCAGACGGTAGACAAAGTTGGCCAGACCGCCTGCGAGACGGGTGATGTTTTGAGGGATGATGGGACCCTTGGCCAGGATGGTTTGACATTCTGGGGAGTTGATGAACTCCGCAGCTTCTTCTGGAGTGATCATGATGGGTTTAGGTGAATTGGAATTTGTCTCCCTTTTTAACTGTTTTGAAAATTGGGGATAAGTCACAGAAGATACTGTAATTGCTGCCAAAACTTCTACTCTATTTCCACCACTAAATACACCGATAATCACACAAAACAGATATAACCACACATCCACAATCTCTACACAATATCATCATCCACTCTAACAGGTTTGGGTATATTCAAACTAACCCGAAACTCGCCCGCAAACCTATCCAAAAACCCAAAAATCCTATCCATCGTCGCCAAATCGGGAACCAAAGAAGGCTTTTGAGGCTGGGCTATCATCTCCGTTGATCCTGTTGTTTCGGCTGCGTATTTTGTGATTAGTGGGGAAAAAATAAAGACAGGGGGAGGCGTGTATATGTTTTTGTTTACTTTGGTCTGTGGATTCGGGTTTGTGGACGAGGATTCTGGAGAGCTTTCGGAGGCCTGCTTTTCGCCAGTTTCCGAGCGGCATCTGAGGTGAAGCGTCAGACGGTGTCTAGGTAAAGATAGTTTACCATTCTAAATATGTTCAGGATGCAATTAAGGGTGTGAAAAGTCGGTCGGTCTACTCTATCCAACGCATCAAACACATCATCCTTGTTCATGGCTACGATCGGAACATGGCGTTGCGAAAGGAATGGTTGCTGGAAATTTGATTTCAGTTCATGTTCTTCCTCCATCGATAATAGACAAGAGATGAATTACATACCTTTAACGTTGACAACCAAAACGACAAAACGTCCACGAGAACGGCCCTGTTGTCCACTTCCTCCAGCTGTTCATAATATCCTTCGTTGATTTGAAGGACCAGACGGGATGCGTGGCGGTTCAGGTTAAGACGGAAGGAGATTCGGGATGTGATTTCTTGGGCGATTTCGGCCTTTTCGTTGTAATGGTGAGAAGGTGGTGGTTTTTTGCAAGAAGATTTTTTTGCTTACTGGAGATTGTTCTTGTCTGGAAGCATCGGTGAATGAATAAACGAGTTTTTCGACGATCAGGAAAATAGCCTGACGGAAAGGCTTTAGCAACTCAATCCTGTTCCCGCAAACCGTATACCATACCTTGGGTATATGCCTCAAAAACCTCAACTCATCTCCATGCAAAAGCACCCTCTGGCTTTCGATCAATGCGTAAAAAGATATCCGATCCTCGACCCTATCCGTAATTGGGAACACCCTGTAGAGTTCGGATAGGAATGATTTGAAGCTTCGTACAAAGGTTTGTTGCTTTTCGTTTTGGACGGATTTGGGACGGCGGTTTCGGATCAGGCTGATGGCCTTTTTGTGAAAGGGGTATTGGTTGGGATTTGGTTTTCCAGGAAGGTTTTGGGCTTACCGCATCGGGGCTCATGCGTTTTGAGTAAATTAGGAGGCATGCTATTGATAGACCTGTTCTGCCTGGTTGGAGGAAAGTGGGGGTAAGTCGTTGGAGGGGATTTGTTGACTTCTACCCAAGCCTGCATGGCAATGAACGGATATCTGAAGATCAGTTAGATGATATAGAAAACGGAAAATGATGTAGCATGCCTTTTTTCCCATCTGGATTTCATGGTCCATGACTTGAACGATCCTCAACGCGAGGTCTAATCTTGGAATGTCCATGTCTCTCCTTTGAAAGCTCTTAGCCATCATTCCTTTCAGGAAAAAAGAAACAAGAACTCACCAACCAAAGTTGAAATACGATACTGTTTGTGTTTTTCCCGAAACAGAAAAGCCGTTAACCTTCTTTCTCTCTCCTTCTCTTCTCCGAAAACGCAAACAAAGCACTTACTCTCCTCGTTCATCCAAGCCTCGGGATCATAACTGAACCCGGTGGAACCTTCCAACCCATCCCCGCACAAATCATGTTCCCCCAATTCCTGTAGATTGAAGATGGCTCCAATGTTGAGTTCCTTGAACTTTTCCATCAGCCTGAATTCTTTCATGAGACGGGTGGATGGTCTTTGCATGGCTAGAATGTCTGGTGTGATCCTGCGAGGGTGATACCTGAGGTTAGTTTGAAGAAGGGGAAGAAAGGGGGAGTACCAGTTGGAGTATAGACCGTCGATGGCGTTGGGTCGATCTGGATCTTTGAGCCATAGATACCAGTTTTCGTACTTGCATTCTGGGCCTCCACAAAAGATGCATTTCAGACTTGACATTTGGAAAAAAATCTTTTTCGTTGGAGGCTTCTTCGACGGAGCACTGGGAAAAGAAAGACGCTTAAGCAATTACATTGTGTAGCTGCTCAAAAGGTCGGCATAACCTGGAACCATCTCAGAGCCTTTCGAAGGAGATCTTTGACACGTTCTTCAGCAAAGGAGTCAGGACCTGTAGCAGCTTTCGGCTGTTGTGGAAAACAAAGACGGCCGAAACTATCACTCTTCTTCCTATGCTCTCAGAAACTAAGCAAACGTTAACAGCCTCCAGAATGGGTTCGAAATAGCAATATACATTTTTGTTCATTTTCAAATGCAAGAAAACGCGAATAACAGGATGGAAAAAAATAAGCAAGCACGTAGGAATAAAAAGGGATAGGATACAAATGCAAGAAAAGGACATGTATCAGAAGAGGTGAACAAAAAGAGGGAAAGGGATGCAAAAGAAGGCTGCAAGGATGGTACAGCGAAAAGATTGTGTTCTTGCTTTCAAACCAGCAAAGCAAACCCATTTCATCATCGACAACAACAGTGCAAGAGAACAAGTGGCCGATAACTCACGACGGCGCGCAAGTCAGACCACTCTTAACTTTTCCTCAGATACTATCCTTTCCTTCATAAATCCCACCCAGCAAAGATGCCACCACGCCCCAATAATCTCTCCCATTAAAGCTTCTCCTCCTTGGTGGACAAAGCAGTGTATCCCTGTCCATAAGCAGGAAGAGCCTCCTCATCCTCCTCGGGAGCCTCATAAACAATAGCAACCTTTTCATACTTTTGAACCACAACACCATCCTCGCCCTTGAGAACAAACTCGTAGGGCTCGGTCTGGTGCTCCTCGGGTCCGCGAATGAGGAGGAAGGCAAGCCTTGCAATGGAGGCGTAGAACAAGAGCATGGCGGTTCCCGAGACCGCAATGAAGATGGCCTTGGCGGTCATGGGGAGAGCGTTGAACCATCTGGCGAGACGGCGCATGCATCCTCTCATGTGCTTGTTTCTAGGGCTGGGCATGAGGGTCTCTCCGACG